CCCCAAAACCCCAAAACCCCAAAACCCCTGGAATGGATCTCAAAAAGAAATAAATAGTGTAAAAATTTTATATGAAAAGTTAGTAATATTAAATTAATGGAAAATTTAATAAAAACTAAGAAACTTGAGACAAGATTTTTTCTTAACTAGGCTAACAACCAGCCTATTAATGCAAACATCAATCATAATAAGCCATCTACTTCTCATTCAAAAAATAAAGAGAGGAGGGATATTTTGAATACCACGGCCCCAATTAATCTGCACATGGGATACATGAATCAAGGAATAGGGCTTTCGGCAAATAACACTAGTGCTACTCCATCCTCCACTAAAAATTCATCAATGAGGAATTAAAATTCTAACTTAAACCAAACGCAACAAATCAATTTGAATAACACAACAGACAACTCTTTTGGAGGAACTAGCAATGGAGGCGGCTTCTCATTCTATCCATCTCGTTTATCCCATCAAATGAACAATATGAATGGATCAGCTATTCATTCATAGAAGCATTAATCAGCTGTATATTTCGTGCAAGGTAAAGCTCAGGGTTAAGGAACTTAGCAGAGACATACTTCCCACGGAAAACGTATTTAAAGTCAAAGTAGACAAAGTTAAAACGGTGGAAATAACATCATAACTCATGGCAGCTTAATCAATGGCTAGACACCTACCACCACTTCTGCTTCGAATCAGCAGCAAGTCATACTGAATGGATCAGGGATATCTACAACAATGAATAATCAGTAAAAATATTACACCTAAATGTTCAATAGATAAAAATGGGCAAGAGGACTAGTCACTGAGGTCAACAGCAAGAATAACTCACCAGCTGGTTCATTCAGGACAAGTACAAAAACAGTAAGTTCCAACACATATTGAATTTCATATAAATAATAGGGACACTTATAAGTAAATGCATAGGGCCTGGCAATGACTCAATTATTTTCAAAATAAAATACAACATAGATTGGATAGTTTAACATGATGAATAATACATAAAATTTCCACCAGGATGCTACATTCAGAGTAAAGAAACATAAAAATAACAAACCAACCAATTTCTCAGCGAACAAGACTCAATCAATTATAAGCAATCAAAATGTCAACGCAAATGGATAAAATATGAATCAAACTCTGGATGATCAGTAATTTAAATCAGGAGCAGAGACGATGAAAAAGAAAAGATCGCAATAGCCAACTATAAATATCAACAATAACACAAATAACCAAGGAATAAATATAGTGCAAACAGATGGTTAGGATTATGTATAGTTTTTGGAAAAACAAAGAGGTATATTATCAGAAGTAAATAGCAAAACCGCAGGAGCTAGTATTGTAAGTTAAAATAGTGCTCAATAAAATGCAGTTAAAGGACAACCTATTTAGAACATATCAAATTAGTTCACAATAAATAACTTCTTCTTTTAGCCATCAAGTCCAAAAGTCACCTAAGATCAAATTCATAGCAATCTTGATAGAAATATTAAAACTGCAGGTGCCTCAAGAAGAGTATCATCCTAGGTCAATTCTCCACCTGTTGGAACTTCTTATGATTTTAATAAAATAAAAAAAGACCTAGATTCTGTCAGATAAAGACATGAGGAGGTCTAGCTTAATATGATTAAATAACATAAAAGTAATCCAAATGGTGTAAACATGGTGGACTAATAACATCAAGAGAAGATCGCGAATAATGATGAAAAAAATGCAACTGGTTAAGGAACTAAAGAAAGTGAAAATATTAAGAAAAATACAGATGAAGTTCAAAAGTCAGAAGCATAATAAGAAGAGATCATTATATTTTCGGAAAAGCATTCATTAGATGATTATGTAATTGGAAAATAAATTGGTTAGGGAGCCTATGCTACAGTACACATTGGGATGCACAAGAAAACAGGGAAGAAAGTTGCCCTTAAGATCTATGAAAAAGAGAAGATGAAAGAAATATAGAGAAAGAAGTCAGTTCGAAGAGAGATAAAGCTAATGGAGAGATTGAATCACCCTCATATCGCTAAACTTTATGAAGCAATTGAGACGGATGATTAAGTAATTCTCGTAATGGAGTATGTAAGTGGGGGATCAACTCATGGATTCTTAAAATCAAAGCCAAACAGAAGAATGGATGAGGAAGATGCTCGAAGAATATATAGATAAGTTATCAGTGCTCTTTAATATTGCCATAGCAAGTGTGTAGCACATAGAGATATCAAACTTGAAAATGTCATGCTGGATTCTCGAGGCAATGTCAAAATAATTGACTTTGGTTTTAGTACATGCATTCCTAATGATAAGAAAATAAAAATTTTCTGCGGTACTCCCTCATATATGGCACCTGAAATAGTGGCGAAAAAAGAATTCTGTGGGCCCCCAGCAGATATCTGGGCTTCAGGAGTTCTCTTATTTGCATTCTTTTGTGGATGCTTTCCTTTCAGAGGATAAAATGATAAAGAACTTTACAAGAAAATTATGAAAGCAGATCTCTTGGTACCAGAGCATGTTCCAGCTGGTCCAAGAGCAATACTAGTTAAAATTTTATAAGCTGAGGCAGAAAGGAGACCATCAGCCGCTGAACTTTATTGCGATCCATGGGTTTAAGGGATATCAAATTAGACTGATTAGATATTCGTCAATAAAAATAGATCCTTCTCTACAAAACCAACTCAAAGCTCTAATAATCAAAGCAACGGATCAATGATAAGTGTAAATAATCAGCTGAATCAGACATAATACGTTGGAGCTGGTGGTGGGGCAGGAGCTGCTGATCCTAAAAATAACAAAGAATATTAGAGATAAAAAGAAAGAATAAGGAGCAGTTAAAACTATTAGCAGCGATATAGCTCAGCAAACAATCATCCAAACATATAGTAGGTAAATCAGGCAGCTGGTTTTAATTAAACAGCTGTACTTTCTGATAAATAAAAGTAGAACCTTCAGTAAACCTAGGCCTATAATTCAGAGGCTTATAAAGCATACTATAATACAGCTGGGTCTCCTCATGATTCTAGATCCCCTTCTGGCAGAGTAGCCACTGCTCCCCATTATCAGTAATTCGTTGTCTAATCTCCAAACAATAGGTTATTCTTCAATTTTCATCCTAATTTCACGCCATCATAAGAAGGAGCAGCAGAGGGATATGCTAGTTTTCAAAGATAATAAAAGAAGGATGGAGTCATAGTTTAACAAACAAACCAATTGAACAATCCTATTCATCCAAGTTATGTGCCGAGTATCGTTTCATCATTTGCTACTTCTCCTAAAGGAAGTTAAAGTAAGCTTTTAATTTGTATTTCTTACATTATAAAGTTCAAAACAACTGGCTTTCCTCTGGAGTAGTGTTGAGTCAAGATGATGTAAATGCTACAGTTCTTACATAAAATCAACTAAACAGTAGTGGGCTTCTAATAAACAGCAAAGATTAAAAAGCAACGTACGATTATCTAAATAAAACCAATAGTTAAATCAAGCAGAACTAGTGATACAATAAACCATACTATTGATGAGATATAAAAAAGTTTTAGTGAAATATAAATTGATCTAGGCCCAAAACATATATTACATGCCGAATCAATTGATAAGAGGTCTATATATAGCAATTTATCGATCGATAGTTATAGATCTCTGATCTGTTTTTAATAATTGAATTATTTTATTTTGTATATTAACAATCAATATCCCTATTATCAGTTTTCCTATATTTTCATATTAAAGTCGTTTGGGGTTTTGGGGTTTTGGGGTTTTGGGGTTTTGGGG